GTTGTATGGCCGTAAGCGAGAATGATTCCAATTCATCCATTCCACTTATAGACGGAATCATTTGTTGTTGTTATTCAACATGTAGAATGTCCGATAGCGGCTCTTACATGGAAATGCAGCATGGCTATTATCCATTTCAAATGTGATATGATATCATTCATCTTTTCTAATAATATTTGCTGAGATTTTTATCAGCTATCAATTGTCAGTTAAAACCTTTCTTTGGAATGATCCTGGAATTTAAATCCCTACAATTTCAAGAAATCTAATTACTGCATTATTATGCATTCTACATATATACGTTTATTCCTAATGCAACACTTGAAAATTTTGTTAGAGGAAAGCAATCTATGGGATGGACGTACACTTCAACGACTGTTTGTTCAGGGAAATAAAGAGGTTGGAATAATTGTTATAAATGATACAAATGGAAGGAAAAGAACTTCATGCATGTTAAATTTAAGTCAGTAAATTAGCAATAAACAACTATAATAAGTACACTACGCTAAGGGTATATCTGTGTTGTAACGCATTTCATAAGTGTATTTTGTCAATTTTGAATATTAATATACCGCTGTCAATCAGTGCGTTTGTGCTATTCCTGTTAAATATGAAGTAGTGGAGAGAATAAAAATAAAACTGATTAAAAATTCAAATGTCAAAATGAAATTACAAATTTGTCGCTACATTCTGATGATAGCACCGAATATACCGCACAGCTCCTGATTCTTATGCATCTTTTTTCATATTTGCAGTAGTATGCTCGAACTGTGGACGTACTTTCATCAGGCGTAGGATGAACATTTTTTAGATAGTGCCTCATTGCGCTAAAAGAAATGAACAGTTTGTTGTAGTTTGGTCTAGAACTTGTATTTTTCTTTTTTTATAATAACTTTGCACAATGTGACACCAGAATTCCAAGATCTTCATTTCCGCCCCAAACTTAGGTAATTAAAACCATTGGATGAAAAAAACAATATTAACGTTTCATAATCATTAAGATTTAGTAAGCGTAAATTAATGCACGTTGATAAAGTGCTCCTTGTTAGCCCACATTGGTATAGTACTTTGTTAGTGCATATTTGTGCTGTGCTCTTAGTGTACATTGCTGAAGGATGAGTACATGTACAGTTTTATGCAGTGATAGCATCATACAAATATAGAAAAGAATTTGGGTGGTTTTTAAATTTAAGTGACGATTCAATTTGTTACATACAAATTAGTACATCACAACATATCCACTTATGAATCTTTATGTTTTTCTTTATCGCGGAACTTCTTCACGCTTATTCGCGGCATTACCGAAATAATGATGAAATAATATGACTTGAACTGATTTGATTCATTACAGATTGTTTCGGATGTGATCGTCTTAAAGAAATTGAAGTGAAATTCTGACATTTATTCTATTTGTTCAAGTCATTTTCCATGTGGGAAAGCCTTTAAGCAGTTAACATTTTGTCCTAAATTTTCATCCATTACTAGTCCAGAAAATATCAAACACAATATGCTTGGGAGATAAAACCGCATACATATTATTTGCTTTCAGTACTGGAGAAGCATCAACCTTCGTTTTGCTGATTTCGTCTTTTGTTTTGTTCCTAGTCATTATCGGTGAATGAGATTTTATTAACTCTTTTCCTTTACTTATGTTCTTTCTAGTTTTCCTCTATCTTTAACTTTTAATAACTAGAGGGATCGATAATTTTATCGATTTTGTAAGTGTTGCGGAATCATACTGTTGCGCTTCGAATTGCTCCTTTTCCGCCTGATTTCACCCCTTCAATAATTCCTAACATCCGGGTTCCTTTTGGTTGTTCTTCCTTCATTACAGTTACTACTTCATTTATTTCAGTCTTTCTTTCAGTAAACTTTGTCTCTGTTGATGCTCCACTTCCCATCGTTTTCTTAAATTTGTTACCATTGCGCCCAAATTGGTTTAGACATTGATTTGTTTTCTGAAATTGTTTTTTAATTTTCTTTGTGTTGAGCTTTCATTTAAGCCACAACTTCCATCTTCTGATTTCTTTTCTCGGAGCAGGCCACTACGTTTAGCTAAGAGAACTATGAAATCAATAGAAAGAAGGACCTGCATGGAATCCTTCGTCATTTCTATTAATGGTCGGGAATTCAAGTTAGCTTCAATTTCGATAATGGCTGCAATGAGTTTCATTTCGCTCAGAAATGTCTTTCCACGACTCGTTAATTTTGTCAATTCGATTAATTGTCCATATATTCCTCCTTGCCATGGCACATGAAGAGTGAGTGATACAGTTCCATTTAATTTTATGTTTGCTACAGAATTAAAATGCTAAAGAGATCCTTTAGTGCTGGATTGCATTATTCTTGTTTGAGATTAAATTCCATTGTATTATAGATTTCATTTGTTGTTGTAAACTTAGATGCACTATCATTTATGGTTGTTTTTGACCTTCCACGACGACAATAAATCTTCATAGCATGCGTGAAAATGTTTCCGCACTTAAATTCTACGCAACTTCAAGGTGTACTGCTCAATTAGTCAAAAAACAGAACAATGCAATCCAGCATTTGGTAGTTTAAAATTGTCCTCTAATGTTAACTGGACCAAAATAATCTAATCCAATATTCGCAAAAGTTAATGAACGCTGTACGCATTCCTTTAGAAATGCGGGATTATTCGGTAGTTGGGATGGGTTTATTATTTCATCTTTTACACAATATGCAATCTATTTTGATGGTACTTTTCATTTGTATTCCCTCTTTTTTACGCTCAGAAATTCTGTCTTAATTCAGCCAATGTTTGATTTATCCCACTGCAGAACGTTTTTTCGCATACATTGATGACAATATGTGATGCTATCCGACATCGTTTTAAGAAGATTAATAGGATAGATCGTATTAATGTAGGTTCTATTATACGTCCATCGCATCGTAGCAATTCATAATTGTCGGCTGTTAGTTGCCAATTTTTTCTTTTTCTGTAATTTCATTTTTCTGAGCTTCTTTGATAAGATACTACTTTGTGATTATGCAGTCATCAGACATTTTTAATAAATTTGAATACTCGAATAGTTTTGCTTGGAGTAATTTATCCCAGCTGCTAAATCAACTGATGTCCCAAAAGATTTTCGTTCTTTTCTTTTTCTTTATTATGTTATAATTCAACCATTTCTTTTTGATTTTCTTGTTTACCTTCGTTATTTCTGTCTTCTTCATCGTGAATTGATATTGCTGGCCAAGCAGTTTTCGGTAGGTCCGCTTCGCCATTAAGAGTTGTTCTTCAGATTGTTGATTTTTACTTCTCTATCCACTACGTTTGCGAGGTTGTCAGCTGTATGTTTGAAATTTATTTTGATTTTTTTTGATTTCATCTGGGCGACTTTCAATTAATCGTGATTGTTGTTTCGTTTCACTTTGTATCCAATTCAGGACACACATTGAATCAGTCCAGAAAAATGTTTCAAAACATTCTGCATTTCCAGCTGATTTGCTACAAAACTGATTGCTGGCACTTCAATCAGAACTGCCAGAAGTTTACTTCCTTTCATGGAATTGTTGTTCCTTAATCGATTTTTGGGAATATTAACGAATACTGAATTTTTTTTCGTCTTCATCTGATGGTTCATCTATTTCCAATAATTCTAATTTCCAAAATTGAGCAACAATGACGCAGTCATTTCCTTTAATTAGAGGCATCATTGTTACAAGACTGAATTGATTTTTACATTTTTTAGAGTACCGCTTTCGCTACAATATAACCAACCGATACACTGATAAGCCGGAATTCTTTCGTTAACTCTTTAATCACTGTTAGTTCAAATTCGAAAAAATAATCTGCTCCGATTAATAGTTTGAATTTCTCCCATTTTTTAATGGATTTCGGTCCAGTATATCTCCTAATTTTTCAACATTACATCTTCCTGGTCGTTAGATATATCAATTCTTTGTAAGTGTGAAGTAATAAGGTGTTCCATTGTTGTCACTTTCATGGATTTATATTTTCCATTTTTAATTGAATATTAAACGACACCATTGTTGTTTGATGTTCTTTGACTCCCTCTCCAGCGAAACCTTCTATTCTCAACATTTCAGTTTGCTTTCTTTTCAACTTCAATCGCTTATATACTTTGTTAATGATGAAACATTCAAAATGCTGCCATAACTGCTTGCTTATTATTCTATGGATTGACGTCACATCTTAACAAGCAAACGAACGTCTTTTACCATCCTTCTTTTCATTTATTAATGCAACAGTAGTTGGAGCTCCATCTTTCAATTTGCCAATCAAAATATTTTTTCTTCTTGTTCCAAAGTGTTATTTTCATTTTTTTTTCTTTTAGATCTGTATAATGCCGAATTGTGTTGATTCTTACAATGAAAGTATACTGTTTTGCAGATGCATTTCCTGCTGTCATCCTCTTTCATCATAAATCAAAAACCAGAAACATAGGTGCAGCTCTCCTTTGATCGACCATTCTGTACTCATTGCATTCGTTGTTCCAATCGTTTTTTGAACAAAAAGCGCAAAGTTTTCTAACAGAACTTTTAGTAACAGTAAACATAGTCGACACCCTTGCTCCACTTGATTTCCTTACTTGATTTGGCTTTTTTTGTGCAGTCTGATTCGATCTTTCCGCCTCTTCGATTCATAGTTTTATTTCGTCCTGCTATTGTTTCTAATTGTTTTCTCAGATTTTTACAGACTATGAATCGTTTTTTTCTTGGCTTTGACAGGTCCTCTGCAAAATTCATCGCGGCAGTTTCGATTCAATTTCTGGATGATCCAAATTTTCGCTCAATTTTCTAGTTATTTCCACAATTGATGGGAGATCGTTGTTTTTTTTGACTGTTGGAAATCTTTCTAATTCATAAGGCAGTTGCCTGTGGATTGCTTTCTAATCTCCACTGAGTCCCTTCATCATCACTCAATAATTTCCAAGAGTAATTGGATACCCAAAAATAGCTGTCATAGTTCTTCCAGTTAGACACTCAATAAGATGAAATAATTTTTGTATTGCAGGAATATTCTGACTGTGCACAGCAATTTGAAAGTTCGCATAGAAGACGGGAACACTATAGTAGCTCACCGGAGAATCTGTGACGTTCCAATCCAGGTAGTTTAGTATACCGAACTTAATTTGACACATAGAGTAAAGCAATAGTACTGGAATCCTAGCTTCTTTTATCAAAAGGCAGCAAAATTACTTCCATCTCTTTCTTTTGCGTCTCCAGCATTGCTGACATAACTCTACCTCTTTCTATCGCAATAATGAAAATGTGTTCATTAACTATAGTTTGCGCATATATTTGTTCTTCTTTTTTATGTTTTACATTAGGCAGTTTGATTAGTTCTGACCACTTCTATTTTCTCCAAAATATTCGCAACAGAAGTGATAGATCGGATTGAATATTTGCAATTGGTGGAAAAGTTTTCCGTAATATTCCTTTTTTCTTTAGTTCAATGGGCCAGTACTTCTTTCAGTAGTCGCTGCAAACGCTCTTTGGCAAGTGATGCGGGCTGATGCAGAGATCCAGAAACTTTCAAATTCACTTACCGTAAATCCACGACTTACACCTTCCAATTTATTTTCCTGGCGCCCGAAGTAGTTTTGCGCAACGTGACACCGAAATTTGGGTAATTAGATTTAGATAAAAGAAACAATATTAACGTCACATAGTCATTGAGAATTACAAAGCACAAATTAACGTCTAAAGTAAGCTGCAAAACATCGTCACAAGATGAAGTCCGACAACACTAATCTGAGGAATAGAAGAGGACGAATGTTATCCTACTGTATGCAGGGTTTATATGTAGTGTAGTGGGATTCTATTTACCGCAATCAAATAACTTAGAACCGATTGACCCCAGTTTGACCTGAAGTCCTTTACAATATGCAACATTGACCAGAAACTCTTTACAATATGTCTACATTCCACAGAAATTTGATAAGCTGATTTATAACATTTTAACATAAAATTAGTGCATCACAACGCTTTACATATGAATCATTATATTCCTTTATTATGGAACTTTTTCGCGTCATTATATTTTTCGATATTACGGAACTTCGCGTTTATTCGTGACACGGAGTGCATTTGAGGGAATCTATTGGGCATCAACTTATCATCTTCAATCATAGAAATCAAAGCTTCATCATCAAGTAACCATCGATACGTTTCACGACGAGATCAAAAGGTGCGTGTAAGAAAGATCCATCCTTAAGCTTATTAAAATAATTGATTAAAAGCTAAACACATAGCATGTAGCAGATACGAAGGTTGAACTGAACCGATTGTAAATGAACAAGATTTATGGTAAAGTTGACGGCCGACATAACTCTTGAATTCGAGAGCACCAATCTGTTCCCAGGCTGGTGAGGACATGACTGTAAGATCCGAGTGAAGTTCAACTGCTGTCTATTGATGAAGAGGACGATATGGAAAGGGAATTTTTGGGTTATTGGGAAAGTGTGCTCATTGCATGGTTTCCGCATAGCTCTGGCTTTCTAGGCCGCCTAGGTTTGCAGAGTTCCTGGATTCAAATGATTTAAAAGAACTTTTACACTGCAAAAACCAGTAATGTATCTAAGTCTGTCCCAAAGAAATATTGTGGAAAACTCTAGAAACATCTCTCAAAAAATATTCCTTCGAAAACACTCGAACCTATAAGTCGTAGAAACTTTGCTTTCACTCTAATTCTCTTGGAAGAAATCGTAAATTTTAAAGGCTTTTCCTTTCATTTTCAATTCTTCATCAGATGCATATGTGAAGGAAAAAAAAACCCGTACAATGATATCTCCCAAAAAGCACTACGGTAACAAAACTTCACAGAAAATAAATTTCATAGAAGTGTAAGGGGTTATTTTTATTTGTCTGATTGACATAAGAAAAATGCTAAATTTTTAAATTATAGCAAGAGGAGGAAGTAGTCAATACATCCCGATCATGGCTTTTTTTCTTCCTTGTTGAAAAATGTTTCTTTGATGTCACTATCCAGTAATGAAACGATGAAAATTGTCCACAATCGGAAACTGATGATTCCGGTAACTTCTGTTTATGGTTTGCCTTTTCCAGCTAAGTTACTTCGAATTATCTTTATTAATGGACAGTTACTGATAATCCAATTGAGCCATATGTTAAAAACACTTTAATCTGAGATCGATCAAGATAAAAGCTGACATCTCGTACTCGTTACTTTTGTCGCTGATATCGTGAGTACAAACAGAGGAACAATAATCCCCTTTGTTGAAATCTTTGTTTCATATGTTCATATCGTCTTACGTTTGCGCTAACAAAGAACACTATACCAATGTGCGCTCCATAAGGAAGCTAATTCTTGTATTCATAAAACGGTACAAGGACCTTCCCACTCGATCGTTTGATTTTCCGCTGTACTTAAATCTACAAGTACCTTGGAAGCTGCTATAAGGTTCTTGGCATTATCGGAAATTATACGTTTTGGTTGTTTCCGTTCGACTTATAAAAGATCTACGGAATGCCCGTACAAATTGTTCAGCAGACATAGTTTCCATTACTTCGAGATGCACAGCTCGAGTGGCTAAGCATGTAAACAGAGTACTCATCGTTTGGCATTGGCATGATCCTCCTTTATTACAGCTGGCCCAAACAGGTCTAAACCAGCAGTTTCAAACGGTCGCGTTCCTACAACTCTAGCAGCGGGATAAAGAGAAAAAAAAGTCTGATTGCTTTTGAGCAATGGTGTGGTCAACCATACAGTGCAACTTTTACAAATCTTTCTCGAAATTTTCTTAATCGCTGTCTCATTTTGCTTTAGGTGTAGTACACGCTCGCATGAAATTATTTCTCATGATAATGCTTCACAATCAGTTCTGCTATCTTTCCTTTGTTAATGAAATACGGAAAATCCTCAATTTAAGGCGTAACCTTTCTGACTCTTCCAACACACCTCAAGATTTCATTCCGGTCTTTTCTTAAACCCCAATGTTCGATTTCCCTTTACATTATGTTCAACTGTACCATCTTGACTATCAATTGTATTATTACTTTTTCATGCTCCTCAGATGCAAAATTCTCTCTAGGGGACTCTTTCAAATTTCTTATCTTCTCCTTTGACACCTTCGCAAGGAATCGTAAGACGTATAACATCTTTCTTATCAGCTTAAATAGTGATAGAATCGTGTAATGCCGTAACTTGATTTGACTGCATCGCTTCCTTTTCCATCAATCCCATGGCCATACACACACTCGTGATGCTTCTTTCCATAACTTTATCCTTAGGCCATTTTTCCTTCGACTCCTATAACCATGATGGACCATTCCATTACAACGAATTATCTTTCGTTTACCTGGAGAAGTGTTCGTGAAGCCTGGTCTGCTGGATTATATGCTGATTTTATATGACGGAATTTAATTTCTTTACTTCTTATTTCATCAATCCTATTTGAGACATATCAGGATCCTAGCGGCGGGTGCAGGACACAAGCGCTATCCGTCCATAAATATGTTTTTTCCACATAGATTTCTTGTTTAATGAATTCTAATATTCTTACTCCAATTGTGACGACGAGTAACTCTAATCGAGGAATACTGGCTGATTGATTTCTCGTTTTGGAACTAATCTTGTCTTTCCATATATCAGTTATGGTTTGGATGGAGTGATATTACTTCTGCGTACGTATGCTGCTAGTCCCACAGCTCTTTGGGATGCGTCTACAAACACATATATCTCGGAGCACTCTTGCGGGGTCTATCGAGATACTTTTATGACATCCTGTTGGTTAAATGCCCCTTCTAACTCCAAGCGACGTTTCATTTCTTCAGGTTCTAATTTCTCATCATAGGACACACTCTTCTATAAATCTTGAACCAATCAATAATTTCCATGGGAGTATGATCGGACACAATAATCCCAATTGATCGTAAATAGCACCATAGGATTGTAATATCTGGCGTTTAGTCTGAAGACCTTTTTCTGGATCATCCAGCTCCAAGTAAAACTCATCTTTGATATTATTCCATTCGATTTCTAACAGTTTAGCGGTCTTCTTTGTTATTTCTTGCTTACTGTCCACCTCAATATCATAGTTCGCCTGGAATTCTTTCAAATGCATCTTGGCCTTCTTAAAGAAATCTTTTACTTCCTGTGTCTTTCTATTACTTTCTAACTCACTTTCTGCTGTTAATACAACATTATCAACATGGAGATTCTTCTCTACTTCTGCTGATAATTTAGAGCTTTCTTCATCCAGTGGATGTCTAATGACAGCGGTCAACAGAAAAGGTGATGATACTACATCGAAAGGAATTATCGCGAATCGATAAGTAGCTAGGTTTTTTTGAGTTGGTTGGATATAAGCTGTCGGGCGTAATTTAGTTTTCTTTGTTTTTACTGTTTTCGTCATTAATTTTTGTTGTATCGATGCCGTAATTGCTTGCATGTTCGTTGTTGTATTAATAAATTTATCGTAATAAAGGTTCAATTGCCCAAATTTGATGGACTACCAATTAAAGAGGTAGAAAGAACCCTCAGTTTTTGCCACGGTTGAAAAAAATCGGCGACAAAATTTGGTCCAACCAGCCCGATTCGAACAAACAACCTAATGATTCGATTAAGAAAGAAGCGACCTAAGGATTCGGTCAAGATGGAAGCGAGTAAGTTATATTCAATCAAGAATGACGCGAAGAAGAAAATAATTCTTATTCGTATCGGCTCATAACAAAGCTCGAAAGTGATACCATCACATTGATACTATCACAATGAGCTGAATGTG